TCCGAAATCAACTTAGTATTTAGGACTAATCGGTTGGGAATAGACAAGTATGCGATTGTCATCACAAAAGCCCAGCCCGTGGGCCGTCTCAAGGGACACATGGTGTACAAGGTCATCTCAACAGACTTCCTCCCTATGCGAGACCGTCAAATTCGCGATCCCGATGAAGACCAGTTCTTGTTCCTCTTAAAATCCTTTATCATGACTGGTCCTATGTATTTCTCATACTCGATCGACCTTACCAACAGCTTCCAAAGGCAGGCGTCTATCGACAACTCGGCCCCTCTCTGGATGCGCGCCGACGATCGCTTCTTCTGGAACAGATTCGTCCAGACTGATCTAATTGACTTTCGAAAAATGGGAAGCCGATCTCAGCAGGGCCCCCAGCCAGCCGCTGATCCATTCATCCTACCATTGATATGGGGCACAATGGAAATAAGGCCAACCAAGTTCAAGGGCACCCCCCTAACCATTGTTCTCATCACTAGAAAGTCGAGACACCGAGCTGGAACCAGATATTTTACCAGAGGTATCGACGAAGAAGGTCATGCCGCCAATTACAATGAAACTGAGCAAGTTGTAGTCTTGAATGACGCAGGTGGTGGCCTGGGAGGGTACGCAGGAAGCACTGATATGCAAAGTGGCAAGTTCGGGGCTTCCGATGGACGGGAAATGCAAATCATGTCCTATGTCCAGACTCGAGGGAGTGTGCCCGTCTACTGGTCCGAGATCAATGTCCTCAAGTATACACCAAAACTCCAGGTTCGCGGGATTGAGACTGCCTTATCTGCCGCCCAGAAACACTTCGACGAGCAGATCCGCATATACGGTGACAATTACCTTGTCAACCTAGTTAATCAAAAGGGTCGCGAGAAGCGAGTGAAGGAGGCTTACGAACAGATGGTGAAAATGCTTCTTAGCTCAAAAACGGAAACTACCAACAAGGATCTGCTCACCGATGAGAAGTTCCGTGTCATCGAGCCTAACACTACTAAACAAGAGTTCGACCGCTTACATTACGTGTACTTTGATTTCCACCACGAAACTAAAGGGCTTCAGATGCATCGCGCTATGATGCTCGTTGATAGATTACACGATGCATTAATAGCACAACAGTATTTCCGAGGCGTCGATATGCCTGCGAACGGTGGACTGGAGACAAGGAATTTCCAAACAAGCGTCGTAAGGACAAACTGTATGGATTCACTTGACCGTACAAACGTGGTTCAGAGCATGCTTGCCAGGTGGACTCTAGATCGCATCTTTGTAGACCTAGGCCTACTTCAACGAGGTGAGACTTTTGCCACAGCAGATCCAGCCTTCGAATTCCTCTTCCGCAACTTGTGGGCAGACAACGCCGACACGGTATCCAAAGCATATGCCGGCACCGGGGCTATGAAAACAGACCTTACGCGCTTGGGTAAGCGTACCAAACAAGGAACTTTCCAAGACGGCAACATTGCGGTGACTCGATACTATCTGAACAACTTCCGAGACGGCCCCCGGCAAGATGCTTATGATCTATTCTTGGGCGCTTATGAGCCCTCCGCAGCTAATATTGGCTCTTCCCTCATATTTGCCGACCGTAGGCCAATCCTCATCCAAAGTATCCCCTACATACTTGCTTTCAGCATATTCTTCATTTTTCTAGGCTTGTTCAGCAAACGCCTACCAGATTCCACCGTCCTACCTATGCGCCTATTCATCCTGTTCTGGGTGATAGTAGCCGGTTGGTCTCTAAACTTTATCATTCAGAACGGCATGCTATTTGTAAGTACATCATCACTGACACAATGGATTCGATTTAATCCAAGCGAAGGTGCTAATACTAGGCGTAGGTGAACTGGCCAAAGCTGAACCCGCGGCCATGGGCTATAGAAGGCTATCAGGAGACGATTGGAAAGATCAAGAAAGGCAAGGTGGTTGGCTCTTTTGTCGCAGGGCACGAGCGCGGACTAAGCACAGCGAGATATCTTAATGCAGAGGAGGGGAAGAAGAGGATCGAGTAACTTGCGAGTTTAGGTATTTCTGCTTGCTGAACAGACACTTCGGAGCATGGGCCACACATGACTCTCTGTCTTAAGTTCATCCTCCATTCTTGCGTGTCTTCCATGCGGAGATGGTCCCGTTGCTCGCTATGTGCCTAGGGGCTGTAGTGATAGATTTGTTAGATATTATAATAGCCTAAGTCTTTAATTGAACACTTCAACATTTGTCATGCGGTTCCTACTCGCCTCCCCACACCAAACATTTACTATACCAGATAAAGGGATCACGTATTTAGGGTAAAGCAAACAAAAAATAGACTTCAAATTGTGTGAAAAATAAAACTCTCGATCGGGGAATCGAACCCCGGCCACCTGCGTGACAAGCAGGTATCCTTACCACTAGACCAATCGAGATGGCTGATGAACTAGCATATTGAAGCTCGATGACGACGATGCTCGTTAGCAGGATTTATCCCGCACCACAAATCCGGCAAATTAGTAAAACATCAACCATTTACTTACTTTTACAGCTACTAATTACACAAATCAATAAGTAAAAATGTTAATATATGTTATTATGCTTCTATTTTGTTAAAACTGTCAACACCATATTGTTTTAGCGGATTCCGACACCTTTATACCGGCTACAAATAGCAGGTTCTCTTGCAACGAGTGAAGTTAGTTATGCCGTATTAAGTATAATCCCTAGCCTTTTTAAAACTCTACCTTATAGTAAAGGAAGCCTTGAAGATATAATCTGAGCCCGTAGTCGTTTTTATGCGCTGACGTTCACCAAAATCATAAGAAAGTAACTAGAAGGGCTACTTACGGTGGGAAATACTGGTTCTAATAGCAATGGCACGATGATAGGTACCATAAATATAGAGCGTCGATGCGCTAGAAGCTATATACCGAGCATCTATGATTATCTATATAATATCAAGTGTGCATACGGCTGGGAATCAGATGAACCCACAAACGAGTACCTAGATTTATAAAGATCTTTGGGTGCCTGGCTCGTCTGTGCTAATAGGCTTGAGCTACCTATCTATCGCTCTCGCTTTGACTCCGCGAGTCTTCTGATACACTATCACGCCTATCATCCTTCCTTTTCTCCTCTCAATCCATACCAGACGCCATCATGGAAATCGATCGCGACGTCGTCGTTCGTATGAACCCGAACCTTTCCGACGACCAGATCGACGAACTTATCGATCAGCGCGTCCCCGAGCTTACATTCGAATATGAAGGCAGTGTCTGCATGTCTACGGCGGTTTATAAACAGTACAAGGCAGCGGCGCGAAACTTGGACCAGTATCGCAAATACGTCCAGATTATCGAAGCATTTGCTAAAGAAAACTTCAAGCCGTTTGCAGAAACGCCAAGACCAAAGGTAGAAATTACTGACGCAATCGTCTTACAAATACCGATGACGCAGAACTTGTCCGCGACGCTCAGGAACCCGGTGCATACTAGAAAGCCGTCTTAACCAGATACCCGATGCAACCGTTTATGGATATCGAGGGCGTTGTTGACGCGCTACGGCGTATTGCTCCAGATCGTGAGCCATAGGTAGGTATACCTAGAACCGGGAACCATTATATACAGGCACTCACATTACATTAATTACGTAGATGGCGGCACTTGGATCCACTATTTGTTACCACTCGGGCCCTTTGTACCTGCTTGTTCTTACCCAAGAGCATTGCTTTTCCCTGTTTACCTAGGTAGTCATTCATTCTACCTGGTGACGCTTTTTAATACTTTAAAATAGCTAAATCGCTTCTACACGGCGAACATTATAGGTACTACCGACTTAAATTGATTGACTGAGCAATAGCTTGAGAATTTGCAAAATGTCTAAGCTATAGACTTAATTAGAGCTTTAGTTTCTTATCAAAGACATGATAACAGGCTAGGTGGCGGAGTGGTTAACGCGGTAGACTCGAAATCTACTTCCTTCGGGAGCACCCGTTCGAATCGGGTCCTAGTCGTAAAAGGTTTCAATGAAGTACATTTCTTTTGTTTTTTATTGTACAAACTTCTTTTCTTTCTTACTACATAGCTCCTCAAAGGCGCCTCAAAGTACCAACAACCTAGCGAGCCCTAACAAGACCCTACCTATTCCTGGCGGCTCATAAGTGGATACGGTCGGCATTATACACGTAGTAGGTAGTTTTTAGTGGCACTCTGCTGCCTGCGACGGTATAACTGGCGCCTATCTCTACGCAACTGTAATTACCCTCACTTTAGTCGCAGTAACTGTTCTATTAGTTCATTAAATGGAACACATTTTCTCTTCTAAGCCTACGAGAACGTGCCCCAACCAGAAGGTTAATTCAGATACCTGATCTCGCGCCAATGCCTCAACCATGCTCCTTAAGGGCCTTGGCAGCATATTGATTCGCACCAGCATAACACCCTTCACGATTTCGACAAGGACCTACCTAATCAACAAGCTAAGTTTTAGCGATTAGACAAGCTCCAAACCTATGCCGTATTTAATATGGCGCGGGCTCAACTCAACTAGAAGTTGTTAGAGGGAGCGACCAAAGAGAGAACACACTGGAGGTATATTCCAATAGTAGACAATCCACATTTCTCATAGGTCTATCTATATAGCCAGGGGGCCGTGGACTAAGATGCAATCCTACACGCTGAACCAATTCGTAGTAGAACTTCACAACCGCCACTACCTATCTAGCCCAGATTAGGAATATTTTAGCCAGTCGATTGTCGGCAATCAACCATGGCATAGAGTATGTCCATTCGAGATAAGATTGCGCAACAGTTTCGTTGAACGTGAGCGGCTACCTATGCCTTCCAGAAAGGAGCAGTCGATTCGGCCCCTCAACTACATATATGCTTTCCTCAACGCAACAAAACCACATTAACATTGACTTATCTAATCTTCGCCAGATATTCTTCTTCGGTTGCCTACTTACCCTCGCGTCTAGATACAATACGCATCACAACAAATCCCCGGTCAATCAGTCCTCCATATATCAATACGGGCGAATGGTCTAGGGGTATGATACTCCCTTCGCATATTTGAATCTTCAGAATAGCCTGGGAGGGGTCCGGGGTTCAATTCCCCGTTCGTCCATCTATTTTGCCAGATTTGAAGGAAAGGTGGATGTTGCTTTTATTTTTTTTGCCGTTTTGTCAGTATTTCAGGCTTTCATAGGAGCTATCGGTGCGCTGGTGGGTAAATAGGGGGCTAAAACTTTGTGGGCTGAGGCTAAAAAGCCAATGTATTAATGTGAATAAGAAACTTGCAGGCAGTCAATTGCTCCTCTAGTTTATGTAAACTGTGCTATTATAAGACCCGCTTAACTAGTTGAATAAGACTTTCCAAGCTTTTATGACTGCATAACAAATACAAGAGGGTTAAAAGTTGGCAGTCGAGGCAACGTGTGAGAGATTAGATGAAGTTGCGCGCAGTTAAATACCAGTAACAATTGCATATTGTAATGTTCCGAAATTGACAGCAAGCCAATATCTTGGTTCTATGACTTGGGTTCCCCATCGGCTCTATCTGTAGGCACAATCACATACACAGAGTATCTAGGGGTATGAATGATTACAGCGGAAAGGAACCTAAAAGACAGTCAAGTTGTCACCGAAACCTATACTCAGCCAGTTTGTTGGCCTTGTTTTAATTTAAAGGCTAGGTATCCTGTTAATAAGCAGCTCTAGCCCTCGTCCATTCTACCTCTCCTACAACCTCCTTAGTGAAATAAGGTACCTAAACAAAATACTCGGTATTTTAACCCTATGTACTTTTATCACTAACAACTGAGTCAATGTGTAATATTTTTTATTTTGCTAAGGATGCTGCTAGGTATCTCAGGCCCCATGAGAGGGACTAGCCTTGATCTTTATCCCGTCTTCATTCTTTCCAGCTTTACCCCTCCATCTCTAGATACGCACACCTACTTGATCTCTCCCCTATCTCGCTCTTCTACCCCTCTCTCTACATGATTTCCTCCTCTTCTCATATACGGAAGCGTCTATCACATATCTAATCTCATTATCCAATGCTCAAGCCCTCGGTAACTATATACTCAATATAACTACGCTTTCTTTCCCGCAAAGATGAATCACAACAATAAAAAGAAAACCGGTGACTCTACAACCTCTCCCCGCACGTCCAACACCGCGCTCGTTCAGCCAGGGAAAGAACGACCATGGTCGGGGTCGAATGTATGCTCTGAACGGCGCCCGGGCTCATGGAAAGGACCAAGGAGGGACAACGATCCTACAACTAAGGATGAGTTTCTTCTTCGGGATGGTATGATAAGCACGGGAAAACATTGGGTTGGTAATATGTATTCAATACATTCACTGTCAATACCAAGATGATTTAATCGAAGCTACGTCTTAACGAGCCCTCGATCATCCCCAGATACCGTTGATATCTAATACTATCTAGCTATTGCTAACTATTTATACTGCAGGCAAACCAAAACAAAGACTCTGCTGAGAAACCTGTGCTGACGAAGTATCATCAATCGAGTCTCCGACTAAGAACCTCTGACCGATCTGATGATGTAATATATCTCGGAACTCGACCCGTTAGACCTGACACCTCGTCCCCTGAACGGCCTCATATTGGCAAGGTGCTTGACGGCTGGAAGCCTAACCAAGCCATTCAAGTTAAGCGACGCCGTATCGACTCCTCCTCACCTGACGCTGAAGATGGCGGCCGACATAAGCGCAATCGACTTGTAGAAAAATTCCCGAAAGATTATCAATCGGTCGAACGGGCAACTGGATCTCAACTTCAAGACGAGCGATGGTTGACATTGAGCCAGGTACAGAAGCTCTCTTATAGTACCTCTCCAAGCTCACCCAAAACATCTCCATACTTTGAAGACCTGGGGGGGAGCTAGGAGGCTCGTGAGTTATCTTGAGGGATGCGGCTCCAATGAGAAAAGGGACAATATAAGGAGAAGTTTCTACATCATCGCTTAGCCCTCCATCTGAATAGAAGAAAACGAAGGGTGCCTATAAGTGACTGCAGAGCTTTAGTTAGAGACCGACATGGATCTAGGGTGATGTGATCAGGAACGCAAACAGAGATGCATGGGCAACCATGGTACTATTGTGTGACATTGATCTTCGATGCATCTTAAAGCGACATGCTCGACTAGCTACCTAAGCTAATACAATCTGTAGTATAAGGCTAGGTTTAACACTCAAACATGAAATATGTTACTCATATAAAACGTGCACAACTGGATTTGATGCATGAATCCCAAATTTGCAAGCTAGCAAAAAAACTATCTAAGGGAAACAATCCCTTCCTACAGTGTCGATGAGCCATAATGCCATAATTTCCTAGATCTGTCGTATAACTCGACTGTATTGTTTGCTAGGAATGATCGGTCATGGAAAGAGACCAGGGCCTGATAAAATGGGATGTTTCCCTCCTCCCTTTGACTATGCTTCCCTCATGTTATCGTAATGCGTGTCCAATGAACGAATGCCCAAAGGCCCATTCCAAGTCGTACAACGTTCCCTTCGGCGTAGTGCGTTATGCAATACTAGATCCGGGTTCGGCCTGACCCTAACTTTCAGTTACACATGCACCTTGGCTGACAGTAAATTCTAAGTCATCAACCTATATATAAGCTTATCCCCACTGTGTTTTTGTCAATTTTGTCACATCAGATTACCGCACCGTAACAGGATCAAACAATGCCCGCCATAAACAACATGGGTAGCATTGTGTTCTTCTTTTATTTACCAGTATCCAATAGCGCTATTCACGTGTTCCCATTTACCCCCCCCCATATCCTTCATTATTACCAACTGTGAACAAACCGAATGCGCACCGGATGTTCAACTGTGGGATAATACTGGTATAACCACACCATATGCCAACACCTTTAGGTACTGTCTCAATTCTGAGACAACCTCACATAAGCTAAGCAGCTTGGACCATCTCGTCGCGAAAATTTTGATTCGTTCATACTGTGGTTTGCCTATTCAAGCACCCAATGCTTGCTCTTGTATTCAACAATGGCGTAAGGTAGGTATGTGACCATCATCAATGCACTGATGTGCATGTACCACCTTTCCCTTATTTCACTATAAATTGTGCCCTTCCCCCGGGCGTTCCGAATCCTAACTGCATTTTTATCGATGCACAAACTTAACATTCGATTTTTCTCCTTTTTGCGATTTAATTCTAATACGAAGTCAACACATTTCAGAACCCACCAAAACTGACTCTCAACAAATTTAAAAGAACATAATACCTCAACGGCCCCCAAATAGCTACATCGGTAAACCTCATTTAAATCTCAGCCCTAGACTTATATTTCCCATCCATAGCCCTCGCATCTTCTATCCTGCCGTAACCTGAGGGCATCCTGCCTACATTCCAACTCTATTGATACCTCAACGCCTTCTTTTAAGCAGGCTAGGATGAATGTTCATTGCCCATACTAACAAGCAAGTTGTGAGTTATAGTCCAACTCTGCAGTCATCCTACCTACTCGATTAGTCCTCATTTACCTTTCTTCGACTGGGCACAGTCTAAGAAGTGCCAAATCCGCATCTCTTCAACAATTATCGATCTTTGTCTTCTGCCTTCGCCGAAGCCCTATCCCTACGTTAGAAATATGTGCCGACAAATTTACCTTCGTTTTCAGAACTGCCCGTGCGAGCTGCAGCACCGGCTGGAAGAATGCAGTTACGGAAAATCCGACCCACGTTGCCAAGAAGTCAAAGTGTCTCTGGTGTAGAGCAGCAGAGACTACTGCCAATGGCACGAACAGTGGAACGCGATGCAGAGTGAGGCGTGTCAAAGCACGGACAGCCAGCCCCAGCGTCGTCGTTGGTACCTTTCCCCATACCACGAGAGTCCAGTAGACCTCGACAAATATGAAGCGGAGATGAAGGCGAGCACCAAGTCGAACGGTAAAGATGCGTGCTGGGCCGACAAGTCTGCTCAGAACGAGACGAGCAAGACGAACAAGACCGTCAAGCAGAAGAAGAATGGAAAGTCTGTCCGGCGGCCTCTTGCTACGGGATGCGCGGCCAACTTCAAGGACTTCGGAGGGAATGAGAATGGCTCGGAAATGGGTGCGTAGGACTAGTGCTGTCATAGTCCTCGCTCTGGCGCGCATCGGCACGCCCAGCGATGTGTACGCCTTGCTTTCTTCCCATCACGTCGCGTCCTACCACCACCACTAGCTATGGGCACGTGATTGCTAGCACAGGTTGGGTTAATAGTGTGGAGGGTGTTCAGGCACATCTGGACTGCTATTCTTTTCTACCATCTTGATAATATTTGGGATTGGGATTACCTGTCTCTCTGGAAAGTATGAGAAAAGAGGGGACAAAGAGAGAAGGTTTAACCGTTTTAGATGGAGGGGACAGTGCAAGGCATATGCAGTCGGATACACTAGGGCAAGGGTGTCTCTCATTGACATTGCATATGGCTTGTAGAAGAGTTGATAGGAGGGACGAAATCCAAGTATTAGAGCTAGTGATAATGCATGGAGAGTACGCGAATTATAATGCAAAGAATAAGAATAAAAAAAGTTGATAATAAAAAAAATAAACCTCAATTGATCTTCTGAATCATTGCGTTAATGTCCTGTGACCTATCAAGAGAATGATAAATGATGGGTAGCTCAAATTGAGGCGAATAAGAAAATCTCTTGGGACTGCCCACTTGTACTTAAGCTGGAGAGGGGATTTAATAGCATCTGCTAGACAGGTAGACAGAATACGCTAGGACATCTTTAGGCGCAAGCATTTTGCAGGGATTTAAATTGAATGTTCCTGTTTGGCGGGGATCTAGTCTAGCGTAATCCGATGAATGTTGGGGTCCAGGCGTTGTTTATTCACATCAGACTCGGCTTGCTGATACTGCAGGATTAGGATTTAGCGTTACCCACACAGCGACAGCTGTAAATCTGGTGGTGTGGTTAAATAGGGAGGCCAAAGCCGATTCTTATCTTAACAGGAAGCTGAGTCCGCTGTGCAAGCCCATTAAAACCCTTGCTCCCGGATTGCACCGGTGTCGCATCGTTGCAATGTGTAGATGAGACTTGTCCTAAACCACTCAGATACCTACCTCGATTTAGA